GGCTAGTGGGAGGTGTCCCTGCCCATGGCAGGGGGTGGGACTGGATGGTCTTTACAGTCCCTTCCCACCCAAACCATTCTGGGATGATTCTATGGTTTAAGGGCCACTTCTTGACAGCACAGGTCATGATTTTTACTTCTGGCCAAGCCACCTCGTGTTTCAGTCCTGGTGAGGTGATGGATTGCCCTGTTCCATCTCTCAGCTCTTCGCTTTGGTTCAGGCTCCTGTGCTTCACTGGGCAGCAGTGGTGGTGTGGGGACGTAGCCTGGGATTATATTGACTCTGGCAACTCTTTTTAATAAGATTTTCTTGCTGTTGGGCTGTTTGCTGGTTCACAGCTCACTCAGGCCAAGTTTCCAGCATTCATCTTTGTGTTCCCTGTGAAGGCTCCAAGCCCTTTCTGCTGTGAGTGACAGCAGGGAGAGCAGGGTGGCTGTGGGACTGACAGGGTGTTTATCCACGGGCTGAGTGAGCTGCAGCTCTGTCTGTGCCTGTGACAGCTGGGCTGTGACAGCCAGAGCTCTGAACCTGGAGCAGGACAGTCCACAGAGCACCTCTGCTCCTCTCAGAGAATCCCAGGATGTGCTGATCTGGGAGGGACCCCCAAGGATCCTGGAGTCCAACCCTCAGCCCTGCCCAGGCCCAGCCCCAAGAGTCACCCCCTGTGCCCCAGAGGATCAGCCAAACCCTCCCTGAGCTCTGGCAGCCTTGGGGCTGTGCCCACTGCCCTGGGGAGCCTGGGCAGTGCCCAACCAGCCTCTGGGGGAAGAACCTTTGGCTGAGATCCAACCTGAGCCTGCCCTGACACAGCTCCAGCCATTCCCTGGCTGCTGTCCCTGGTCCCCCCAGAGCAGAGCTCAGTCCCTGCCCCTCCTCTGACCCTGCCCAGGCAGTTGTGACTGCAATGAGATCTCCTTGTGCTCCAGAGTATCCCTGTGGAAGCCTGCTCCCTGGCCCTTCTTTTCCATGTGTTTTAGCCTTACAGGAAGGTTGTTTTGTAAGGAAACAAGTGCCATTTCTGTGGGCAGCCTGATGTCTCATCAGCTTCCCAAGTCCCCACGTGGCTCTTGCCATCCCTGACAGATGAGCCCCAGGGAGGGGAAAAGCTGTCAGCATTCCTGGCTGTCCTCCTGCCCCTGGAGCTTTGCTTGCTGTGAACTTTAACTCTTCAGTCATGTAATTCATGAACTTTAGTACTTCATTTAACAGCTCCCCAGGGAAACTTTTGCTAATCCTTCCTGCTGCCAGGCAACCTTTTCCTGAGAGCCCTGCCAGTGTTTTCCCTCAGCTCTGGTTCTGTTAGTCCTGGCTCCAGCCCCTGATGTATCACTGTTTTCCTAATGCTTGTGCCTTTCATTTGTTAAAAGATCCTGGAGCCTTTAGATGGATGAGGCTGTAAATCATGGCAAGGCCAAGGGTTCCCTCTTGTCTGATCACTGAGAGGTTAAGCAGGAAAGAAATTTAGTCAAAATTGGGGTATTCTGGGTGTCATTTTTCTTCTCAGAGTAAAAGCTTCTGGGGGAACTTTGTTTTTTCAGCCGCGGCAAATCAACAAGTAGAGCCATGAGGCTGAAAGTGCTAAATTAAGTTAATTTAGGGAATCATATAGAATGTGTTTGGGTTGGAAGGGACCATCTTGTTCCACCCTCTGCCATGGGCAGGAACACCTTCCACTAGCTCAGGTTGCTCCAAGCCCTGTCCAGCCTGGCCTTGGACACTTCCAGGGGTCCAGAGGCAGCCACAGCTTCTCTGGGCAACCTGTGCCAGGGCCTCCCCACCCTCCCAGGGAACAATTTCTTCCCAATACCCAACCTAAATTTCCCCTCTTTGAGTTGGACCCCGTTCTCCTTGTCCTGTCACTGCAGTTCCTGATGCAGAGTCCCTTCCTGGCTGCCTTGGAGCCCCTTCAGCTCCTGGAAGGTGCTGTGAGGTCTCCACACAACCTTCCCTCCCCCAGGCTGAACAGCCCCAACTTTCTCAGCCTTGGCATGGAGTTCAGGTACCTTTTTTTATTTTTCTCCCCCCCCCGCAATATTAATTTGCAGGATATTTGATGTAACAAAATAGAAACCAGGGAGATACTGGGCACCTGGACATCCTGGAGACAGCTCTCCAAAGAGGAGAAGTAGCAGCAGCACATCCTGTTGGTCACACTTGGATGCAGCTGGGGCTGAGTTTGGGAAGCAAATCTGTAGGAAACCCTTTGAAACACTTGGAAGGTGATTTATCCAAGTGGCAGCAGCACCTCTGCCTTGGCAGGGGGTGCTGAGCCCCTTTTTGGGATTGTGCCCTGTGTCAGATGCTCTGGACCCCTCAGAACTGGGTGCTCTGTGCCCACAGGGGCTGTGCTGCTCTGCCTGGATGGCAGGAAAGGGGAAGAGATTCCTCCTTCCCTTCACCTCCATCTGAGGTTCAACTGCTTTTATTCAAATCAAACCCAACCCCCTGTCCAGCCAGATTGCTGTGGAGCTCTGCTGAGTCCTGATTCCAGGGAATCCGGGTGTATCCATAGGTTTCTCATCTGTAGGTTCTCTTCTTTGGGAATACACACCAGGGGATAACTCTTCATTTTTCTGGCAGTGAAAAAATGGCCTGAAAAGCTGGCTCTTGTCACTGCTTGCTTGATTTGTTATGGAAAGGCAGGAATTTGCCTTGGATTTACTACAGGGCTCTCTGCTAAGTCACCACAACTGGAGAAGTTTGCTCTGTGCAAAGTTAACTTTTGTTCTCTTCGCTCCAACCCTAAATAATAGATATGAAAGGTTTATTAAGCAAATAAATACAAATCCCTGGGCTGGGAATTCCCATTTCCCACACAAGGAGTGTCTGAAGCCCATCACTTGCCAAAGGGAACGAGTCAGGAATTGCAGCTCAGGGAAAAACACAGGATTGTTTTGTTTACAGGCTTTGACATCAGGGTGTGGGGAGGGAAAATTATGATCATCTCTGGGAGGGGAAAAATGATTAGTGAACTGTATTTCTGCTCTACCAGAATGGGATTTTAGGTGCCTTTTTTCAGACCCTGCAGTGACAGGGAGGTAGAAATGCAAATGCTTTAAATGCAGAAAGACTCCTTCCATATCTGGAGAGTGTCTTGGGTGGGATGTCTCATTTGGAATTAAATCAATTTGCTGCATTTTAAATGTTGTGATGTGCTCCCTAATGTAGGGTTAGTTCTTCTGGGAGAATTGGCCTGGCATGAGATTACAGGGCACGTGTCCATGTTTGAATCCTTCTGAGCATTTTGAGTGGCTCCCAAATCTCAGAATCATGGAATGCTTGGGGTTGGAAGGGACCTTAAAGCTCATCCAGTCCTACCCTCTGCCATGGGCAGGGACACCTTCCACTAGCCCAGGGTGCTCAGTCTAAGGCAGAGCCTTTCCTTGGGCCTGGTTCTGCCTTAAATGATGACTTGTGGCAGGAGAAACTCTTTATTTAACACTTAATAGATAAAATCTTCATCTTCCATCTCCTTCCTTCCTTATGCATGAGGCTTTCCCAGCAATATTAATATTGTACTGTTGAAGAGATAAATGAAGATCAAGGCTCAAGAAATGAGCTTGTAAACCCACCAAATGACAGGTGATTATTAGATGTAGCCTTTGAGGGGAGTTTGGATGTGTTATAAAACCCAAGGAATTCCCTCCTGGAAGCTCAGCAAACTGAGTGTGAGGAAGCAGAAGATGGACACAGCTTTCTCCTTCAGGAAGGACCATGTTGTGGTTGTTGGAAAAGATCTTCCTGCACAACATCTCTGAGCCTGCGAGCCCAGTTTTATCCAAAATGAGTAAGGAAGGCAATAATCTCTGTCCCTAAATATTTTACTCTCCTGCTTCCTTCTCCAGTGCTTATCAGGAACTGTTTTGTCCTTTAATGTCTGGGTCTATGTGTGTGGGGGTTTTTATTACTACTTCTGATTTTTTTTCAGAGGCACCTTTTATTTTCTCAGGTACAAAATAAGCCTGTTTACATCCAGGAGCAGCCAAATTCCTTTCCCTGCTTGGGAAGAACAGTCTGGCAAGTCAGGAGCACTGGTTTCCTTAGTGATGCTGACAGTTGGTGGGCAGACTCAAAAACTGGAAGCATTTCTATGAACTTCTTGATGCCTTTGGCACAAAAGAGCCTTGGCTGTGAACTACCCTCAGTTTTGTGCAGACAAAATGTCCTCTGCTTGGTTTTGTTTGTTGTTTATCCATAACTCCCGTAATAAAAGCCATAAAGAGCTGACAGATTACAAGTTGCATGAAATATCCAAGTCATTATTTACACTTTGATGCTTCTTTGTGCAGACATGAGACAATAAATACCCAGAAAGTCTCAGAAGTGACACTCAGCGGGGGATTCACCACTTTTTACGTGCCAGGGTTTGCTTCTCCTGCTTGGAACCGTATCCTAATACCTGATATTCCTTGCCTTTGGTTTTTAGTGAGCTCCAAGGGCTCAGCTGGAAGCCAGACTTCCATGGGATGCTGCTGGAGTTGGCTGTGGGGCAGGGAACAGCCTTTCCTCGCAGGGTCTTTGCTGGTGGCTGAATTTTGGTGGTGCCTGTGGGTGCTGCCTCGGGGGCTTGTGGAGAGCACAAATTCTGCTCTGTGAACTCCTGGGCTGGCACTGGAGTGGTGTGGGTTCCTCTCCCAAATATGTGTCACTCCTTGTGGAGATAAGGGGTGGTTGTGCAGCCATGGAACGCTGGGGCTTAAATCCTGGAGTCCCTCTCGCTCTTGGATGGGATTTAACACCCTGTTTGTTAAAACGTCCTTGAGAATGTCATTGCTGTGTTAGTAGAAAAAAATCCAGTGTGTTGTGGGGTTTTTATTTCAGATTTACTGTCCTAAATTACCAAAGGGCCAGAGTCTGAAGGGAAAAGGGATAAAATGCAAGATTACACCAAAGCAGGAATTGCTGTGTGGGCACTTGCCACTGGTTTAACTGAACTGTGCCACAGTGTTTCAAGTGTGATGCTGGAATGTAAATGGTTGTAATTCACTGTCTTTGAACAGAGAGAACATGAGCTCCAGGAAGGAGATGTTGGAAGGAGAGAGAACCCTGGGAAGAAGGATGAGGAGGAGGAGGAGAAGAGGGAGATGATAACGCCGGCCCTGAGGGACGCGCTCACGAAACAAGGTGAGGCTGCACAGCCCTGGGGGGGACAGGACTGGGGGGTTTGGGAGTGGACTTTGACCAGAGCAGTGGAAGGGGGTGTTCTTTGTGTGACAGAGACTGCTCTGGACCCTCAGTCATGGCAGGACAAAGACCACAGAACACAGGATAGCTGGGGTTGGAAGATCATCCAGTCCAACCCCCTGCCCAGGCAGGGTCACCTGGAGCAGGTGACACAGGAACACAGGTTTGGAATGTCTCCAGAGGGGGAGACTCCACAGCCTCCCTGGGCAGCTGTTCCAGTGCTCTGCCACCTCATGTGGAAGTTCTTCCTCATGCTGAGGTGAAACTTGTGGTTTAGTTTATGGACATCATTCCTTGTCCTGTCACTGGGCACCACTGAGGAGAGTTTGGCACCATCCTCCTGGCTCCTACCATGGAGGTATTTGTATGGATTGATGAGATCCCTGCTCAGCCTTCTCTTCTCTAGACAAGGCCCAGCTCCCTCAGTCTCTGCTCATCAGAGAGAGGCTCCAGACCCCACATCACCCCTGTGGCCTCCTGGCCCTGCTCCAGGAGCTCCCTGTCCCTGCTGTGCTGAGGAGCCAGAGCTGGGCCCAGCCCTACAGATGTGCCTGCCCAGGGCTGGGCAGAGGGGCAGGATCCCTCCCTGACCTGCTCCAATGCTCTCCCGATGCTCCCCAGGATCCCATTGTCCCTCCTGGCCCCAGGACACACTGCTGGCTCATGACCAACTTGGAGTTCCCAGGGTTTAAAGTATCAGCCTGGGAGTGATGCTGATGCCTCCAGCTCCCAGAGTGGAGGTTCCTCAGAGAATATTTCAAGATCAGCTTTGCACCTCTGTTTTCCCTTTAGTCCCCTGCTTTTATTTCAGTTTCAAACTCTGATTTTGTTACTGAAACGTATTTCCAGACTAGGAACGAGTTCAAACTAATTTTAAACTAACCATCCACCAGATGATTAGGTCAGTGAGCTCTGGAGAACAGTTGGAATGAATTTCATGACTTTTTTAAAGCAAAGGACAAGCATGAGAGGAGCCAGACTGAGCCCTGGAAAGGTGATGGAGCTTCCCCTTGCTGCTCAGGTGGAGTCTGAAGGCAGTTTAGTCTAATTTCTTTTATCTTAGGAGAGAGTGTGCTCAGTTCTGTTGCTAAATCAATATTATGGAATCGTTAAGGTTGGAAAAGGTCTTTCAGATCAAGTCCAACCACCCACCCCGTGCCACCACCACGTTCACCACTAACCCACGTCCTCAAGTGCCACATCCACATGGTTTTGAACACTTCTAGGGCTGGTGACTCCACCACTGCCCTGGGCATCTCTCCTGGTGCTTCTGAGCAGGCCCTTGTGGTCCCTGAGAGCCGAGCTCTGAAGTTCTCCCCATGTGATTGTTGTTTTCGGACACAGGACCCCGGGTGGGCTCTGGTACCTGTGCTACTGACCCCTGAGAGGGAGAGTGGGTGGTTTTTGGCACCCTGCCCTGCCTTTTTTGGGGTGCAGGGCTCTGTGCTGGCCCTGGGTGGTATTTGTAGGGTTGTAGGAGTGTTTGTCTCACCCAGTCACTGTTGGTTTGCTTTTGGGGCGTGAATGAAACTTTGCTTTTTTAAGAAGTGGCCATTTGGCAAATGGAAGGTCACCTTCCTCCCATCGTTTTTTTGACACAGGGGAAGGCTCCCTAGGGAGTTTTGGTTTCCTTGTGGTGCTCCAGGGACATAATTCATTATCCTGATTAGTGGGTCCATATTTCTCCCTTCCTTTGGCATTCTGGGTAATGCCAGTATTGGATCAACCAGTAGGAGCTGCTGTTTCAAATCTGCATTTTCAAAGGCTTAAAACTATTGTGTCTGTCTCCTTGTAGTTCCAGCTGCCCCTCCCAGCCCTCCCCTCCTCTGCTGCTCACCCAATTCTGTAATGATCACTCAGCAGTGAAGAAGAAAAGTTGTTTCTTTTTCGTGTCATGTACCGTTTTTCCTGCCAGTAACAAACCAAGAGAGGTTTTTGTGGCTATAAAAATAAACCAACTCCCTCCTTCCCTCAGCATCATTCCCTCCACAGATAACAAGTGCAGTGGAGTCAAAAGAGAATTTGATTTATTGAGCAGCAACTGGTTGCTTTGGGGGTGGAATCACGGAGTGGTTTGGGTTGGAAGGGACATTAAAGCACATCCAGTGCCACCCCCTGCCATGGGCAGGGACACCTTCCATTAGCCCAGGTTGCTCCAACCTGGCCTTGGCCACTTCCAGGGATGGGGCAGCTTCTCTGGGCAGCCCCACCCTCCTTCCCAATATCCCATCTAACCCTGCCCTCTGAGTTTGAAGCCATTCCCCCTTGTCCTGGCACTACAAGCTCTTGTAAAAAGTCCTTTTCAAGATTATCCCTGAGGGCACAATTAGCCCAAAGAGAAGGAAAACAAGTATTAGTGGTTCAGAGAAAGCTGTTCTTTGACACTGCACTTGCATAACAGAGTTTGCCTTTGAGCAGCATCTCTTCAGGCTGTTGTAACCTCTTGGTTCACCTTCAAACAAATTTCCCTTGCTGTAGATACAGTGAATATTGCTTAAGCAATGGTTTTATTTTAGCCCTGGCATTGAATCTGGGCTAAATTTAGCAGGGTTGGGCTGTGTTGTCGAGGTGTGTAAGCTCTTGTAGTTGCCTGCTTGCAGATACCTTGATAAAAGGTGCTCAGTAATAGTTGCTTTTTTAAGTCACAGCTTGTGCTATGAGCCAGCCCTGATTCCATCCCATCAGTGCTCAGCCTTGCATAAAACACAGACACAGCCCAGGCTCTTTAGTGCCTCCAGGAAAAGTGGAGTGGGAGAGACGCTGGCAGTGTTTGTGTGTGAGATTTGCAGTGGTGCTCCTGATGCTTTAGTCATTCCATGTGTTTAGGTAGAGGGAAAGAAATGAAATGAACTGAAAATAGAAGCAAACTCTTCATGGGAATGTTTCCTGTGGTTATTAGGAATTACAGCCCAATATTTGCTTAGGAATTACAGCCCAATATTAACATTTGCTTTCTGTGGTTGCTTGTAGATTCTTGAAACGATCCCTGCTGGGATGGAAGTTCTTCTTTTTGTTTGGCCTGGGTGCCAGGGGGATTTTGGACATGGTGAAGTGCATGGGAGCCTTCCTGGAGCTGCTGAGTTTTCAGGAAGTGCATCTCAATCCTTGTTTAGCTTTAGAGGGAGTCTCAAGCTGCTGTTTTAATAGGAAAGATGACTGTGAAAAACAAACAGCGTGGGGTTTTTTTTCTGTAAAGCACACAAAAAACCCAAACCAAAACACTCTTCTTTGTGCAGGCCTTCAGGGCAGGCTCAGGTTGGATCTCAGCCAAAGGTTCTTCCCCCAGAGGCTGGTTGGGCACTGCCCAGGCTCCCCAGGGCAGTGGGCACAGCCCCAAGGCTGCCAGAGCTCAGGGAGGGTTTGGCTGATCCTCTGGGGCACAGGGGGTGACTCTTGGGGCTGGACCTGTGCAGGGCTGAGGGTTGGACTGATGATCCTTGGGGGTCCCTTCCAGCTCAGAACATCCTGGGATTCAGTGTGACCCCTGTTGGGGTCGTTACCATTGTTAGTCACAGCCCCACCTTGATTTGCCAGAAGTTTTATTGATGCTGCTGGTCCCACTGGAAGCCAAACACATTGTCCTGCTGAGCACAGGAGTGCAGCCTGGCAGCTGGGAGAGTTGTTGTTTCACTGCACTGACTTCCTGAAGGATTTGGAGCCCAACCCTGGTGTTGCACAGTGCCAGCCCCTTCCAGCAGCCCTGTCACCTCAGAGGTGTGTTTGGCAGAGCTGCAGCTCCTACCTGAGGTACTTCTCTTAAATGTGCAGGAGTGACATGGAAAAAACCAACTCAGTGCCCTGAAGAGCTGAATGTTTGCTCAGGAGATTCCAAGGGCAATGGCTTCAAACTGGAAAAGTAGTTTTAGATGAGATATTGGGAAGGAATTGTTCCCTGGGAGGGTGGGGAGGCCCTGGCACAGGTTGCCCAGAGAAGCTGTGGCTGCCCCATCCCTGGGAGTGTCCAAGGCCAGGTTGGACAGGGCTTGGAGCAACCTGGGCTGGTGGGAGGTGTCCCTGCCCATGGCAGGGCTGGGACTGGGTGGGCTTTAAGGTCCCTCCAACATGAACCATTCTGGAATGCTCTGATTCCTTACTCTGGTCCTCCCATGTATTTCTGGATATGGGGATGGGTTGGTTACTGATGCCAAAGACTGACCCCCCTGACATTGGATAAATTATTCTGTTGTGTCTTCTCTGCTCCCACAGGGACGGTTTTGCTGCAGTCCTCTTGGATTGTTCTGTCTTTCCTGGTCTACAATTTAGCCCCAGGGTGTCCAGGATACCTCTGATTTACTTGTATCCAAAGGCAAGGGGTGTATTAGGACACAGCTCATGTCCAAAATAGCCTGGGCTGCTTCAGCAGCCACTTTTTGTTGTGCTTTGACTTTGTAGTCGAGCTAAAAATGTGCTTTAGTCTGTGTTTCTCGGTGTATTTGGGCAAGCAAGAGGCTGCTTTCAGAAAAATACTGAAAGCTGGGCTTTTCAAGTGCTCACCAACTTCCAGTTGAGGTTTTTAAAAGCATTTGGTGGCTTTTGCTGTCCCTTCCTGGGCTGAGCTTTCCGGTGCCTGCAGCTCCGAGCTCTCGTGACCAGCTCAGCTTGGCTCCCTGTGCTGAGCTTTTGGAGTGTCCAGACTTTGGGGAATGAGATCCAAAGAGATTTTGCAGGCTGTGTGCTCCAGTGTTTGGGATTTGGGAGGTTTTGGGTGCAGCTGTTGTACTCCAGGTGGCACCAGCAGCCCACAGCTGGGCCAGGGATTAGCGAGGCTGGTGCAGTCCCCAAAATGTGCCACAGAAATCAAATATTGGCCGTGGGGAGATGAAAAATTAGTTTGCTAAATAACACTTTACTCTTAGTGAGCAGAATAAATACAGTGAGCAAAGCCAGGCATAGAGAAGATCAATTCCTCAGGAAATGTCTGTGTAAATAAAGACTGAACA